TCCTCCATTTGGGCCATTCGTTGGGAGTCGAGAAGTCGAAAGTTTCTGGAGGTTGAATCTGAGCCATGTTGAATTATCTTCCAAGGTACACAAAAATCGATATTTTGAAATATACGGGTTCGTATTTTATCCAGCTATCGCTGCCACCATGTTTTAATGTCCGTTCATAGAGAGCAAAACAACAACTGACTCACCCATGCAGGCAAGGCCACGCTCCGTTGCGTCACGTGGGAAAACATACGTAGATCTTCTCGTACATGTTCTCAGCACAACTGTCTTCACAAACAAGCAGACTCAGGTCGGTGACAAAGCCACAACACCAGCTTTGGTAAAATCAACCGTAGATTTAGCCTAGCCACTCTACTACCTCTTTGGTTGAATGTGAAGATTTCCCTTGTAGATCTCATGGAATAAAGCCCGCCCTAGACTGACAAGAGCCATTAGCCAGAAACCATGGTCTCTAGGTGGACGTTTCTCAGTTTGTCTAAGCTGGTGTTGTGTCACTGACCTGAGTCCACTCGTTTGTGAAGATAGTCAATAGATGGTGCTTAGTTTCAGTGTCTGTTTTGCCGGGAGAGGCGTCCTTTATAGATCAATTTCCTCCTGCCAAAATATCCATCACTAAGTATAGCTTGTTGTCTTTATTACAGCCTTGGGGGGTCGGTGGAAGGCTGGTTAAACCGTTTGGTTTTCGACCACTACGACCCGGGTTTGAAATCCCACATTGGACACTTTTCTGTTTAAAAAAAAAAAAAATGCTCCAATGGCCCTCGATTCTTGCAAAAGTCCAACCCCACCAGCGAGTGCAAGTAACCAAAGGGGCTCTGGCACATTTGTAGGTGCAAAGTTGAACTGCTTTTCACATGTGTAGACATGTGGTGCGCTTACAGTAAAAGCAGTCGCTAACTACCCATCATGATTATCATGGCCTGTACCACGTGTACTAGGGATAAGCAAAAAAAAAATTACAGCCTTAATGGACAAATTGTGAGCTTCTTCAAAATGAAATTGAAAAAAACGACAAATTTAATAGCGACCCCATACAGTTGACAAAATATTATTGCATCATGATTTGTGTGTTTGTTTTCTATTAAATTATTGTTTTTAAATTATTTCAATATATTTACTTTTCATTAGTTTGACAGAGAGTATTATTCTGCTGACACCATTGTGTCAACTACAAGGGGTTATAACAATTACAAGTTGTGAAGGTATAATTCCCGCTGGGGAACATGGCAGTAAGTTATTTCATGAACAGATTAATAGTTTGTTACTCTGTAAACTTTCCTCGTGGTATTTGTGCTTTCCTTTCTCTACATGACCATATATAACCCAATCCTGGTGTAACAACATTCACTTTAAATTTTGATATTTATGCAATAAATCATACCACTGTGTGTGGGGTTGTATTTCAAACTATTAATTTAAATCTTATTTCAATTTAATTCAGGTTTAAATTGAACTCACTTTAGTGACAGGCCTACCAGTCATCAGTGAAAGTCCTTTTTTACCCTACTTATATAGGCAGAATAATCCAATACAGTATTAGAGCTGTGAAGAAGCGGTCTGGTGGATTAAATTGGCGAGGAGGGTTCACACACCCAGCAAGGACAGTAGAAATTTATGTGTGAAGGAAACATTTGTGTTTTAATGTTTTCATTTGCCATATAGCGCGTTATTACTTTAAACAGACTGTTATAAAGAAAGTAATTTAAAGGTCAACAAGTGCTGTAACAAGCTAGGTACCTTCTTGCGAGCCCGGAGTTCATTCTCCCTCAGCCACTCCAGGTAGGACTCCCGAGCTACCTGCTCCTCTATGGTGTCATTGGTGGCCTCCCAGTCTGTGGCCCGCAGCTTGTCCTCCAGCATGGCCTGCAGTTGACAGGAACTCAAGTCATTGCCATCAACAAGGGATTAATTGTGTGTTTATATTAATTACAGTAAAACCTCCATGAGAGGACACTCCCACTATAGGACACCTCTCTACAAAGGACAGTTTTCATAGGTAAAATTAGCATTTTTACTATTAAGCAACTCTCCAGTAAGAAGACACCTCTCCCTAAAGGACACTCTGGCTCTGAAATGAAGTGCTTTTTACAGGGAGGTTCTACTGTAATTATAATAAAAATATAGCAAAGGTAAAATATTAGGTTTACACATTTTTAAAACATCAAATTGTGCACAAGTTTCAGCTCAAAGATTTAAATAAATAATTTGATGGTATCTATGTTCTGTTTTATAAATTTTTGTATTCAGCCTGTCCACACCATGGGTCAACACAGTGGGTATATCTGAAATATATATTTTAAATCAGTTTCTGACAGATGGCAGCGAGCTACACTCTTTAATTATCACCTGATCCAATTTTTCTCTGCTTTAAATACTTTTTAAGCATTAAAAAACCTTTAATTAAAAAGGCATATATTGGATCAAAATATCATTTATTTTACCAATATTTCAGTTGGCTGAACGCCAACCTTTATCAAGGTGTTAAAACATATTTAATGTGTGTCAACAACAATGTTGACGTTATGTGGTGCTGAGTTTGTTGTTGACACACTTTAAAATGTTATAATACCTTGATAAAGGTTGGCGTTCGGCCAACTGAAATATTAGTGAAATAAATGATATTTTGATCCAATATATGTCTTTTTAATTAAAGGTTTATTTATTGTTGCTCTATTTTAAAAATGATTAAAAACCTGTTGAGAAAATAAATGTAAAGTTAGAAAGTAGCTATGGAATAAAATAGTCACAATTATTTTATCAGCTATTATAAAATAGTGACACAGTAGAACCTCCATGACACCTCAAGGACACTTTTCATCGCCAAAACTACCATGTTTACTATTTAGCAACTCTCCGGTAAGAGGACACCTCTCTTTAAAGGACACTTTGGCTCTGCAATTAGGTGTTGTCTTTTACAGGGAGGTAGTTCTACTGTATTTGAATATTATATTTATGTATTTTCTTAGGATCCAGAATTGATAAGATAGGAGGTTGTTTAGAGGAAGTGAAAAAGAAGAATATCACTAGGAAGGGATGAAATTGGACAAGATTATGAAAGATAAAGGCATTTCATTGAAGACAAAGAAGAAAATTGTAGAGGCATTGAATTCCCTGTGGTCAATCACTTATAGCTGGACTCTCAGAAAAGAATTGAAGCTTTTGAAATGTGGACATTGGAGAAACCTGCCCAGAGTGCCATGGACAGATATAATGGTCAAATGTTTCAAATTTGTTGTTGTTGTTTCTTATCCCCTTACACGAATTCCATGAGTTCATGCTCCTCGAGCTGTTTTATGATGAGCAGCGGCCTCTCCCAAAGGTCCTGTTTAGTGCATCTAATGCAAGCCAAAATGTGTTCTGGAGCTGCAGGTGCCAAGCTACATTTTGGGCAAGTGGGGTAGATTTTGTTATTATTTTCTATCTTCAATGGCTTGAGATGGCCTGTTCTAAATCTTGTTAGTGTTGTTTGATGCTGTCTATTTCTGATGTTCAGAGCTCCTCCTGGGTTCACTCCACTGTACCAACTGTGCTTAGGTGGGATCCTCCAGTTCTTGTTTATTTTTGTTTTGGCTACTGTCTCTATTTCTTTAAAAGTAAGTTTATTTTTCTGTGGCAAGGGTTCTTTTGTGCCTTTTTTCGCTAGCACATCAGCAGCTTCATTGCCTTCAATTCCAACATGTGAGGGTATCCATTGAAGGTGAATTTTTGAGGTTTTTGAGAGTTTTTGGAGATAGCCAATTATGTTCCTGCTTACTTTGTCTCTGAGTTCCCCTGTGTGACTCAAGTGTTGTATGGCACTTCTACTATCAGTAAGAATCCAGATATCTTGATAATTAGTATTTCTGATGGATTTTAAGGCTTCATAGATGGCTATAAGTTCTGATCTGAAGACTGAGCAAAAATCTGGGTTTCTTCTGTTCATTTTCTCAATGCCATTTTCTCAAATTTAAATCCTGTTAGATCCCTAGAATCTCAAATATGCAAACAAGGACTGACCTACTTCTTACACATACACAATAGTAGGAGCAAATGGTTTAGAAAAGATGTTGGGAAAACCTGGGATGTGAGGCTAGAGGGGTCAAGGAAGCAGGCAGAAGGTGAGCTGTGAATGATAATTACCAACAGAATATTTGTCCATATAGTGTCACCAAGTCGACTTGATGGACACTGACAAAAAATGGAAAACAGCAGCACTCCAAAATATAAGCCCAACAAAATCAATTATGAATCAAATAAAAGCTACCGTCCGATATCTTTATTAGCAAATTTTTCAAAAATAAAATATTTTAATTTTAAAAACAATCTGTTATGCCCAAGACAACAAGGATTTACCAATATTGAAGCCAACTCTCACTTCTGTGATGCTATAATGGAGGTATTAATGGAGCATAAACATTGTCGGCACTAGTTACAATCTTGGGTTTTTGAAAATGCCTGGTGGCCAGCGATCATCAAAATAATAGGCTTAGATAATATACAGTAGAACCTCCATGAGAGGACACTCCCACTATAGGACACCTCTCTACAAAGGACAGTTTTCATTCGCAAATTATCATTTTTACAATTTAGAAACTCTCTGGTAAGAGAACACCTCTCCCTAAAGGACACTTTGGCTTTGCAATTAGGTCTCCTTTACAGGGAGGTTCTACTGTACCAGATAAAAATTCTACAATCATATTTAAATTCCAGGAATGTACCTTTAAATTTCGACGACAATATAACAACTTCAAAGCTGCTAACACTTGGTGCACAAAAAGAGTTGAACCCAAAAGCTCCAAATCTTTATCTCCAAATCCTCCTGAAGCCCACTAGAGAGTGCTATCAAAAAGGCTCTCGGTGACCCCGCAATAATAAACACCAGAATGAGGAATAGAAGTTGGAACAAGAAACTTGAAAAAGCTTTCTATGAAAAAATCAGAAAATTTTTAAAATTCGGTCTTCAGGCACAAATACAAAACAAGGGAAATAAAAATTGAAAACTAAAACAAATCTGGCCTATGGGGGGATCGAACTAACGACCTCCGTGTTATTAGCACGATGCTCTAACCAACTGGGCTAATTCTACATCAACACTGAGCCAGAACAATAAAACCTGGAATATCCAACAAGCCAGTCCAAGAGAACCACTAATAATACAATTGTATATAACATTGCTGGGCTGGAGTGGCACGTAAGTTGAACCAGCAAGAGACACCTAGGCTTAATTTACAGTAGTAGGGGAAGTCTAAAGGGTAAAATCTTCTAAATCCACTATACAAATCCTGAATAGGCTAAATTCAGTGAAATTGAGAAAAAGATTGTAGTATCAGGAAATCCCCCAAGTACTGACACATTAGGTGTGAAGAAAGCTAGCACAGAAAGTTGAGGAGCTAACAACAAATGGCAGCTCGAGGAAGTGTAATCTTTGCACCAACAGATAAGAAACAACAACAGGTCAGTTTACCTGTTCCAACTCCAAATCTTCTGATTTCTTCAGGGCATCTTTTAGGAGGTTGAGGTCTGCCATCTGCACACAACACCACATTGTAGTGTGTGAATACATACAAGGGTAGTGTGTTGTGTTTTTACCCAAATACATACAAGGGTAGTACCCAACATATCCAAATACACACATGTAATACCTACCCCAGGCTTGAAGGCAGGCAGCCCCAGGCCCACTCCAACAGTGGCCTTGTAGGGGTCCACGATGGAGTTGTAGTGGATGTTGCGGTGGTAGCTGAGCCGGATGGGGTCGTTGCTCTCGTTGGAGTTGATGCCGTGGAATATGTTGATTGGCTCTGCCCACACACCCACTGTCACAGCTCCCACACAGTAGTGCTTTCTTTTTGGGGTCCAATATTTAAATTTAAACAAATAATACTTGAGCCTTCCCAGCTTGAATTCAACAACCTTCCCGACAAGTTGCAAACACAGTACATCCGCCGTCTACCAACGACAGGTTCATCGCCAGAATTACCTTCTTTACTATTTAGCAGCTCTCTGGACACCTCTCTCTAGAGAACACTGGCAACTAGGTGTTGTCCTTTACAGAAAGGTTTTAATGAATTTATTTTTAATTTAAAGAGCTACGAGGTAAAAAGGCTAAATCCACATGATTTAATAGTCCAAAATCCAAAAAATTAATAAAACCCAGTATTTTGTCTGATAATGGTAACAACACTATTACCAAAACGTCACACAAAGTTATACATAGGAAATGCTTTTACACCTATTTAATATTGGTCTTGTAAAAATAAAAACTACACTTTATTAGTTATACACATTTGAATGAATTTTATTTATCTTTACACGGCTTTAAAAAAACTCGCTAGGTTGTTTTGAGCAGTTATATTTATTGCTTTGAAATATCGTGAGCTGAAACAAGCTCAAAATTTTGTTGTTTTAAAAATATATTTATTGGAAGTTTGTTATAGGCCTAGTATTATAATAGTTTTATTTGGAAGCAAAAATTGGGTTTGAGATAAATCTCTAATTACAATAATAATTTCAATGGAATGGGGATTGATTACCTTAGGTTCAATATAAGGGAATGTTAGTTTACTGTACATCATTATGTCCCAACATTGCTTCGACCAAACAATATTTTGACACCAATACGACAGAGTTATTTAAATGAAATGTCGACAACATTAGATAATTCTCATTTAAATACAGATTTATTGCTAACAATACTTTGGCAGGCACAGTGGCCGTAGTTAACATATGTGCAATGTTACAATGCATCGCAAATATGGGCAGCAACATTGCATATGATTTTTATTTACTTCAGAATGATTTAGGCTTAACTTAAGTGGCTACTAGCCACCGGTGTGAGGTGTCTTAGAAATTTCTGTTACAGTAGAACCTCCCTTTAGCAGACACACCTCTCTACAAAGGACAGTTTTCATTTGAAAAATTGCTATTTTTACTATTTAGCAACTCTCCGGTAAGAGGAGACATGTCCCTAAAGGACACTTTGGCTCTGCAATTAGGTGTCAGGGAGGTAGTTCTACTGTATTTGAAATAACATACACAAGAGGAAAGATGCCATTTGAAGATTGATCAGCTAGAATGCACACTGATCTCATGGATAAGAAACAACAACAACAGAATGCCCACTATATAGGGTTCTAGCCTAGAGGGAAACGACTAAATTTACTCACTTTCTTCCCATTGAATTAATATTTGTAACTTTCCTTTTGTTTGAAAATGTGTTACGGCAATTTTATCCATCACTTAAAGTCAAAATCATGAAAAAATAAGGTAAAAATAGTCCCAATGGGTTTACATTATAATACATCCACACAACAGGGTTTATATTTCTACAAAATATCAGTGATGAATCAGCACAGAGCTCTGGTGACCAAAATTAACGAGGCTCTACTGCACTATGATAATATTGTGAAAAAAGTTTTAAGATTACAAATAATTTCTCACAATGAGTTTCTTTTTATTAAAAAAACGCTAGCTTTCAAGTGATAATCTCTCTTCAACGGGCTTAATAAAATATCAACTTTATCCCACCAGAAATATTTACAAAAACAAACGCACGCAGCGTGGATATTTATAACTGTAAATTTTAAATTGGTAATTTAACAATTTTATGGAATATGTCTATTTACATTTTTAGGGCATCCAGAACCTATAAAATTGATCTATTGATTTCTTCTGAGATATCTAAGGTATTGTGATGGTAAATCTATTTTTCTGTTTATGCTGTTGTATTCATTGGAAACAGCATAAACAGAAAAATAGATTTACCATCACAATACCTTAGATATCTCAGAAGAAATCAATAGATCAATTTTATAGGTTCTGGATGCCCTAAAAATGTAAATAGACATTCCATAAAATAGTTAAATTACAAACCAATTTAAAATTTTCAGTTATAAATATCCACATTGCTGCACGCGTTTGTTTTTGTAAATATTTCTGGTGGGATAAAGTCGATGTTTTATTAAGTCCGTTGAAGAGAGATTATCACTTGAAAGCTAGCGTTTTGTAATAAAAAGAAACTCATTGTGAGAAATTATTTGTAATCTTAAAAATGCACTATAATTGTCTGATGGACTAACCAGCAAAGAAGTTCCTAGCCTCCTGAAGGGAGGTTACAAATTTTAATTATTTCTGGAAGTTTTATCACCAACTCAAAGATCCATTTTTCCTTCAATGACATGTTCTACAATATTGATCCTAATCAAATTTTCCTGAGTGAATAATCCTTGCAATGCTTAGTTTTTTTTCCCCATATCTTCTCCAGCTATATTTCCAAGTTGATTTAGAAACTTTTTAAACAAAACAGTGGAAGCTCTTGAATTATTTTGGGAAAATAATGAGATTTAAGTAATAGTATTGGAAACATTTTGGACATGTTAACAAATTAACATTTTTAGATTATTGATAAGGCACAATTTGGATTATAGATTATAAAACAAGGTAATAACCAAATCCAAATAAATAAATAGTGTGTGACGTTTCGGTAACAGCGTTGTTACCATCTTCAGACAAAAGTACTGAATGAGTTTTGTATTTTTTATTTCATTTCTTTTGATTCTTTTTCATTCAGTACTTTGGTCTGAAGATGGTAACAACGCTGTTACTGAAACGTCACACACAATTTATTTATTTGGATTTGGTCTTATTACCTTGATTTTTAGATTTTAATTGTGGAAAATAAAAAAGGTCAGGAAATTAATATTCACACTAGCCGAGTGTCCCAGGCTAACCTGAAGTTCCTGTGAAGAGACATCAAGAGTATAGATGGTGGTTTTAAAATTACAATGGGTATATTCTGGTTTCTTAGAAGCAACATTTCAAGTAAGGTTAAATACTTTCTAAACAAAGTTTATACATTCGTGCACAGATACCACCACTGGGCATCCAGAAGAATCTCCAGGGAAAATGTCCACAGAGAAGGAATTATGATTATAAGCAAAAAGTTAATTAACAATTGAATTATAAACACAAAATATCTACCATTAGAAATTTATAAAATCCAACAATGCTTATGATTATAAGCAAAAAGTTAATTAACAATTGAATTATAAACACAAAATATCTACCATTAGAAATTTATAAAATCCAACAATACAAACACACTTGTTTTAAAACAAAGTAATTTGGTGATGATGAATAGATAAAATAAAATCTACAATTGGAAAATTGAATAAATGAATATAACACTACTCATATTTAGAGAATAAAATTAAGTGTGAAACACAATGAAAATGTTGGTAAATAGATGGCTATGTATAGTTCAGTGGAGGAGATAAACTTTACAACTGAAAACTGTGTTATATTTCCCTAAAAATGATAAGGCACAATTTGGATTAGTGGGTTTTAATAATATCTTCCCATTGGTGTGTGTGGGACTCAGTCAGTGGGGTTGAACCTAATCTGAGACAGAGAACAAGTCAAAGCAACCAGAGAATGTGATTTAAATGGTGCTGACATCATGAGGAGCATGAACTCATGTAATCTTTACACAAGAGGGGGCTAAGAAACAATACTTCTCTATTCCCAAGGGGATGAGAATCTTCAGTTGAATTAGAGTCAGTTCATCTGGATGTTTTGTTGCCCACACTTGATGTTGAGCCATGTAAAATGGTTGATTGGAATTTGAACAATGGTGGAATTATGATTGGTTGTGTGCCATGGCATGGTGCCATGATCATGGACCCCTACACCCCATTCCATTAGATCATGAACTCATGGAATTTGTGTAACCTTTAAACAAGGGGATAAGAAACAACAACAACATCATTTGCTGTGAATGAAAGTAGGCAATTTGAAAGGGTAGGGAAATGGGTTAATTTAGAGTTGGTTGAATTATAGAGGTTCTGATTGTACATAGTTGTGGGCAATATTGGAGAACTAGACAATAAACCAGCTTACAAGTCCCATGCTGAGAAACAACCACCTGACCCAACTCACCGGTGCCATAGTGGTACACTTCAATAGGCCTATTGAACATCTCCGACATGGCTTGCATCTCAACATGGTTGCCATGGCTGTGAGGAGATCGCTTCCGATCCAGGTACTTCTGGAAGTCTTCGGTCACATACTGGGAGAAGTAGTCAGAGT